ACCTATTTTCCTTAACAAATTACCATTGCTACTTATTTTATTTACTGTTTTAAACCTTTTTCAACCTAGCTTAATCACTTAGGATTATATCTTTTGTGACTCTAGTTCCTTGTGGATTCGATCCCTAAGTACTGCGATTGAACCTCTTATTTGAGAGAGTAAATCACTTCTTAGGTTAAACATTTGAGTGAACATCACTAATCATGATTTGAAAGCAACAATTATGTATCTTGCCATCTTAGCATATTGCTTGGTGTGGACAATGGAGCTTTAAAAGATATGGCCTTGAGTTTTCTGTCATGTGGACGATTTTGATTCAAAACATATTATGGACAGGTGTGGATGTACAAACACTAAAAACAACCAATTTAGTACAACCAAAATCGTTGCTGTAGACAGGGGAGAGCTTGAGACAAGTACAGTATCACCAGCTTCTACTCCCAGTTCCTGTCTCTAAGTTTTTCACACTTCTAACCCAATCCTCTGTAAAAGTCTTACAGAATTAATTCATTTGTGAGCTCACCAACTTACTAGGAGAAACCCATCCCCAACCACGATTATGCAGCTCTTCCACGGTGGCTGTGGCTGGTGTAATATTAAACCATATTCCCAAAACAATCCTTCTCAAGCGGAGGTCTTACCCTCTGCCTCAAGTCCACCACTACTTTGCAATGGGTCTCTCCTCCGCTCAGACCAGTGTCTGTGACTGATGATGGATCGCCACTACTAGCCGATGTGAAAATTTTAGAGCATGCGACTAGTATGGTCTGATGTACTAGTTAATCTACGAGGAGATAATATGGTCTGAAGTGCGATTTGTTTAGTTAAGAATAAACAATTGAATGTGACATACTACTTTTCCTTCAAATGCAATTATTTGTTTTAAAGCTCAGATAACCTCAACACAATGCTTTTTTATTTAAAAAATCAATACAATTGGCATAAAGCAGAAACACTTGACTTGAGTTCAGCGACAATCAAATAGATTGTAGAGCTGCCTGTAATACTAGTATGGTAAATTATTTTCTTCGATTACCTGATGATCAGAGCCATAACATAAAGCCGTCATCAAGCTGTGCATGTGAGATATCACAGTCCTTTTGTAGCTTTTTTCACCAGAGAGCGGAAGAACAACGAAAGTCTTCATTTTTCATCGGGGCATTGACTCTTATCACTATGGTCCAATGAACTAGTGAACTTATTGAACAATGTTGGTCTATAGAGAATGTAAACAACGACATGATTCTTTGGTAGCTAAATATAACAATTTACTAGTGCATGATAATACGCATCAATATCAAAATATTTTAAGCAGCATGAGAAAAAGTTAGTACATTCGACAAGTTTGGAACTTTCTGGTTCATTTAAAGAAAACAGAGAAGTTAGCTTATCTAACAAGTTACAGGTTTCAGTCAAGGATTTTATATCTATCTGAAGAGTCCTAATTGTGAAATAAACTCACAATAACATGTTACCACTTTCGTTATTATACTTGCAATACTCATCAACGGCACAAAAAAGGTTCTTGGAATAGAAACTGTCAGGTTAAAGACAGAGAGACCTTTTATACGAAAAAGGGATGGTTCGAAATTATACATGGACAGGGGTAGTCTTGCACATAAAGTGGGATCAGAGTCGGGGTAATAATCATATTCAGAAATCCAAATTTATCTGCAAATAGAAAATTCTTTAAAACAAAAAAAATAACATGAAAAGAGTTCACAAGAATGTACTGGAATATGATTTTGAGTTATGATCTGGAAGCAGTTCATCATCAAGCCCATGATTGATTAATTTTCCCTACAGATACCCAAATCCTATGCGCTTACCACCAGTTTATATACCTAACGCTACTTGGCTCTTGCTCACTAGTTCATCATCAGCAATTTCAGTGGGACAACACAAGATGGCAGGATGAGTTTTGTCTTGGCATGTTGTGACAGCAAGTCCATACTCAGTGCTGAAAACTGGTTCCCTACTGTTTTAAGACATTGTTGTGTACTAACTTCATTTAGTTACAATCATCTAAATCTTAACCAACATCATTTTATTTTTCATATTCTAATACAACCTTTTGATGTATGGATTATGATCAAAACCAAAAAATAAAGACGATCGATCAATAAGACATATGACTACAATGAATTGTTCATATTAACAAACACATTACATGTAAAGAAAATATGAATAAAAATAATCCAATAAGGATCTAACTAGGTTCATAAAAAAAATAACCTAGCCTTTGTCAACAACTCTGTTTCTCCCCTGTTTTCTTCTCACTCCCGTCACCGCACCGTGATCCAGTCCTCGGAGATAGACCAATCAGGTACCGTTTCACTAACCAAGCTCTCAAATCTCACCACCGGAGAATCCAACGGCTGATATTGCGCCTCTGACTCGGACGACACAGATTCCCAATCAGGAAACCCGAACGGGCATCTTGGCGAGGTCGTTACATCTTCCTTCACATCCATAAAGATTTCGTCTCGTTGACCATCCTTGCCTTCGCAATCAACGGCCACGAACGGATGATTTAAAAGCATCTCAGCCGTCCATCTTTTCTCGGGATTTCTAACGAAACACTTCCTCAAGAAGTCTTTTCCTTCTTCCGACAACTCCTCTGGAATCTTCGGCAACTCTTCGCTGCACCGACTCGTAACAAAAACGACATGAAGTGCGATCCTTCATCAACACTCCACGCCGTTTCGCCGCTAAACATCTCAACCACGGCGCATCCTAACGCCCACACGTCAGCAGCTGCTCCATACTCGTTATCATTAACAGATTCCGGCGCCATATATAACGGCGTCCCTCTAATCTCCACGCCGTCTTTTGACGCCGTTAAATCTCTCGCCAAACCGAAATCCGCAATCTTAACGGCGCCGTCTCCGAATAACAGAATATTCCCGAGTTTTATATCGCAGTGAGCGAACCCTTTTGAGTGAATATGACGTAACCCTCTGAGCACTGATCCTGTGTGGCGTCGCACGGTGGACTCCGGTAGACCCTCGCCGTTTAGTTGAGACGCTAAGCTTCCTCTCGAAGCGTACTCGAGTAGCAAGTTGTGCAACTTCTCGCCATTCTCCACCGTTTGATCTTCTCCGTAACATCGTACGATCTCAGGGCAGTCTCCGAGTGAGTCCAACACTGTTTTCTCGTACGCGATGGCTGCGCCGCCGTAGGAGTTGGAAGATTTGACTGCCATGAGCGACGGGAACTCGCCGGAGTGTTTGATATTCGACGGCGTCGCTAGACTGACGGTGGAAAACGTGCCGTGTCCGATTGTTTCTCCACGAACCCACTCCATTGAATGCAGAGAGACTTGAGAGAGAGGTTTATCTTAGTCTTGTTAGGGTTTGTGAGAGAGTTGTAATGAAAAGTTTCCTATTTTTATAGATATGAAGTTTGGTGTAAGGGTAAAAGTTTCTTTTTTCGTTAGGATTCAAGATATGGAAAATATTGATATTGAAGCTCTTGGAAGATACAGAGCACGTAGCTCGTGACGGTTGGGTTGTGACTTATGGCGCGACTTCCTCATTTATATATACCCGATTTTATATTGTTATATCTCTCAATATTTTCTTTACTAAAGTTTGAATTGTATGGGATAATTAATGCACGTGATGAGAGAGGATGTTTGATATTTCCTAGTTGGGTTACTGAAAATGAAATTAAATAACAAAATAGTTTATTAATTTGAAAAATAAATAGTATTCTTCATTTTTAAAATACATGATGTTAAATGAAGTTTCAAAATAAGAAATGTTTTCATATGTCAATATCTTTTTTATTTTTATCAAAATATGTGCAACGAATGATATTTTCGATTTTATAATTAACTAAATAATTTTTAATTCATATATTTGTGAGATTTTAGGTAAAAACCAAATTTATTAATAATTATGCACTAACATAAAACCTTAAAACTTCATGTATTTGAAAACTGAGTTACTATTGTGTATCGACTTATGTAAGTTGCGACTAGTTGACAGAGAGAGACTGCGATATTTGAAAACGAGAGATACGATGGTAAGTTTTTGGTAAGTCTTGACCGTCAAGTTTTTTGTTCTCTCAAGAGCTTTTGACACTTGACAGTATCACATTACAAAAAAAATACAAGTTGGGGTTGTAATGTTTTTGTGTCAAACCAAGAATCAAATTCTTCTCCATTTAGTAACGTTTTGACACTTACATCTCGTATTTTAATTACGCCTTTCTTGGAGTGCATAGGAAATTATTAATTCTCATCTATAGGTGCACTTTGCATGTTTATTTTCAAATAACATAATGTGACTCTGTAAACTAAATGGGACTGATATGGATAGATGAAAAAATGCTGAATACAATGAAGTTGTCACATGTGAATTGTACTAATATAGTTTATATTTTCTTGTCTTTTATCAATTCCAAAAGCAATTCAACAGATTTTGATGCTTGATATACGCCTTTATCCGACAACTCTTCCAATCATTAGTCTTCTTGCTAATATTTTAATAGTCACAAACTTTACGGTATGTTAATATTTATCGTAATAAAATGCTTAATATAGAAGTTTCCACATCAACTTGATTGCCCGGCCAAAGTCGTAATGGGCATGCTTTGCATGAAAACCACAGAAAAAGCAACACTCTATCATTGTTATATAAAATACTCTTATTATCCCTGATCCCCTCTTCGTCTATGGGTTCTAAATACTTTATTATCTATAAATCTACTTGAATCTATTAGTTTTAATAATTTAGTTTATAACCAGAATTCCGTATTATACATAGCTATATACTAGAATACAGAACACTATATAATTGCTCATTTGCTTGTTACAGGATTCGAAACAGAGACGTCATAGTTTTGTAACGAGCAATTTAACTAAAGATCCATTTTATAAAAATACAGACCGAAACGTTACCAAACCAGAACCCACTAAATAATAACATCACTTTTCTTGTTTTCTTTATAAGAAAGATGAAAGATTGTCATGAAACAAAATTGCGGCGCACCTCTGACTCTACATATAAAAGTATTGACTGATAAATAATTAATCTAAGCATCCAAGAAACAGAAAGATGTGCTTCACAGTGAAGTTTTTTCTTTACTTATTTCTTTATGGTCGGAGTCATACTGAATGAAGCTTAACAGAGTAACAGACTTTCACAAGTTGCGGCTACTAAGTTTCATTCATAACTTCTATAATAATATTATTAAAAAGAAATATCAAAGATTTTTCAATACAGTAATAGTTTTAAGAGAAAAACAGACATTAACGGAAGGGCCCCTTAACGGACCTGACGATGACGAACGCACAAAACTCTAGCCGTCAGTCCGTCACCGTCACATGCTCGCATGTTCTTCCCACCAATCCTTCCTTTCTTATATTTTCTAGGATATTTATTTGTTTTTTATTGTTCTGCAAACATCTTCCTCGATAATATATGGATAAAGACCTTTCCACTTGCGAGTTGTGACTCTTTTTTTCTTCTTTTGGTTTTGGTACCAAGAACCAATCACATACTCCGATTCTTCTCTTCTTTTCCTTTTTTATTTACTTTCGGCTACTTTCATCGTAGTTTATACTTTTCCAACCTGCTTAGAATTATTTCTGTTGTAACAACAAAGAAGATTCTTTTGTATCCAACACACTACAGAGTCTTCAACCGTCGCTTGATATCAACGCATATGATATTGTTATTCCAAGTCGTTCTTAAACTAGGTCGTGATCTCTGTCTAAAAGCATGTGCCCTACTCCTACCACACAACTTGCTCGTTTTATTAGATTACACATTAAATTAACAACCTTTAAAAGCATATGTAAGAAAATAGATAACTAATTTTTATACCACCTGACACACAGTTTAAATCTCTTTGCTTAACTACCTATAAGTATAAATCAATCAATAGACGTCTATATGTTGATATCAGTGGAATACACAACATTATAGTACTTAATTTGATTATGATAAAATTAATGAAGTAGAAATGAACTTTAATAGATGTAGACGTCATATTAGCTCAAAAAATAGAACCACGCACTTCTTTTACTTTGCCACATAACTCAAAATAGTTGTTTTTACATTCGATTCAACGAAAATTTTGTGCAAGTAATAGCACCATCCATGTGCACCACTTGATTCTGAAGAAACGGTAATCCAAATGTGCATAGTTTATTGTTTATTAAAAAATAAACAACTCAATTCAACTTGTCGCGTGAGTGGAATCGATTTTTTCAAAGCTAAGAGCATCTCCAATGTAAAACTCCATTTTTTCCTCCAAAATGGAGTAAAAGAGAATATGGAGTAAAAATGCTCCAACCCCACTCCATTTTCCACTCCATAATGGAGTGATGAACAAACAAAAAACAGATTACTCCATTTATGGAGTAAACTCTATTATGGAGTAGAATATGGAGTAGGGTTAGAGTGTTTTCTACTCCATATTCACTTTTACTCCATTTTAGAGTAAAAAATGGAGTTGGGTTGGAGATGCCCTAATACAGAGGGTCCCTCTCAAGATAAGCATAAATTCAAGGTTTCCGGATATTCCTTGGAATCCGTAATGCATGACCACCCAAATTAACATGAAATTATTTCTGTTTATCGGCAAAATCGGATAGGGCTTGAGAACACATCATTCATCCTTGCACCAAAAAAAAAAATACTGCATGCATCCACTTCATTAACTGAGCTTATAAGTCTAAAATAAGGTCGTAGTAAGCCAAACCTGAACTGGGCGGCAGAGCCCAAGCGCATGAACATCAGTTTAAACATAGTTTTTTACTTGTCAATAAATATTGTATAATGAGTCAAAGGCCAACAATATTTTGTATTTTGGAAGTTGCCACACGAGAAGCCTTCGCTAGACTATTTAGATAGAACATATTTTCATTGATTTGTGGCTAGTTTAGTTATCAATGAACAGAATCTGTGAAAAAATAAGACACAAGTGTATTGATTTTAGGCCTAGTTAAGATTTTGATATAAGACAATAGTGCCGAGAATCGGAACCACATATTGGGTCCGATTGGTAATGACTTTCGCTTTAGGCTTTGACTTTAGAATTGTGGCTGTAGAGATTTTGGCTTTAAAGGCTGTAACTGTTACTTTAGAGAAAGTTAAAAACATGATTGGTACTCAAAGCTTTAGAAGCTGTGACTGTTATAAATATATGTTTATAATTCATTTTTCAAAATGTATTACCTATTTTTTATTTAT